TTTTGAATTGACCATTTTTTTCTGTTTTTGGCTGTTTGCACTTTAACGATAGGCAAGATAGATAGAGTGTGATCCATGTTATAAAGGAACGATTTCATTGACTTGCTTTCAAAGATCACCATATTCAAAACAGTTCGGTCGATTGCGTACGCACACTTAATGTTCGATGAAAGTGGTCTTTGCTTTTATTAATCTTTATTTTTCTTGCCTACATATGAGTTTTTGCCGTTTGACGTAATACCTAGGGGCTTTACGTGATTTTGTAGAACGCAAATAACTCTGATAAAAAATAAAAATAATAGTGAATCAAACCTTCAACCGAAAATTTTAACGACTTTTGAAGGATTTTATGGGTGGATTACAGTGAATATTGGAACATTTTTTGACTATACAATCTGCACAAATTTACTGGTATGCACGTCAATCTCAAATATCTATGTATATTTAATAATATTCATTAGACTTATTTAATAAGGAATGGCAGAATTAAAAAAAAAACTTTGAATAAAAACTTTATTTCTACAGCATTGCTATAATTATTTATGTTGGTCATATATGTGACCACTGGAGCAATTTGAATGAATTGTAATGTCAAAAAATGTTCCAATATTCACCGTTATCTACCAAAATCATTCAAATTTACGGTTGAAGGTTTGATTCACTATTATTTTTATTTTTCATACGTCTACACGTAAATTTGACATCTTCACGATGAATATTGTTGATATATTCAATGGATATTTCGGATTTACATGCATACCATTGAATTTCTAAGTTATTACTTGATGCAAGCGGATATAAAAGTTAAAAAAAATGATTTTACCCCCTAGCGTAATACACAATAGCCGCAACGTTTTGTCGCATCTCTCTTTTCGTTCGCTCAATCGCTGGCTGTACTTTGGGTGTCTCGTGTGTACGAATAATCTTTATCATCTTTGTTTAAATTTACGATTCACGTCGAGAGCAGCACACTTATCGAAAACTTGCAACATTTCGAAATGGCGTACAAGGTACAAGAGCAAATGAATTGACTATGTTTGTCTCTCCCTGTGTGCGTGTGTGTGTGTGTGTGTGTGTGTGTGTTTGGCCGAATAATCGATTTTCGGCGGCAAAACATTCGATTGCCTATTTGTTTTCTCGAATGACGTACGTTACATGAATATGGCGCAAAATGGCTAAACAATTCATATTTCCTGCCTAAGAATGTTTCGCATAAGGTCAAATGGTTGATAAAAACAAAACAGAAAATGAAACACACACCAAATAAATGCAAAATCGGATGACACTTGAAATTGTACACGAGACATCGAATGAAACAAAAAAGTGAAATCAACACCGATAAGACCTACAAACACAGAAATAAAAACAACAATCAGAGAATCGTATAAATAGCAGACAATCAACTTTTGCTCCTCTCACGCGTTCAGTATGTTTTTTTCTTCCCTTTTTTATTGTTCAGATTTCCGTAGCGCATGGAACGTAAGATTATTGATATAGGGTAAATGACTTACGCCAAATAACTAAAACGCACACATATACAAACTGTGTCTCCCTTCGAATAAGAAAAAAAAAACAGCAGTACCAGCAACAACAACAACAACAACGGAAAGAGTGAGTAATCAGACAGCGACCTGATTCGTTGAACACGCAAAATTTGCCATCAAATTGTGAGACAAACAATCGACGCAGGTATAATTCCGATTAGGTTTCAAACGATTTGTTGTTGTGGTAGCCTGCGTACACGTGTGTGTTTTGCACTACAAATCGCTATTTACTCATCTTGATCGATATGGAACAGTTTTGGTTTTGTTGTTATTGTTTTATTTTCTTCTTCGTCTTCTCTCTTTCTTCTTTCTTCCAACTGTTTTGTTTTGATGACGAAACTTCTCGATTGTGTGCGAAATTATGTGGTAAAAGGTGGAAATGTTGGAATTTTTTGTTCATTAGTTTGATTAGTCACGTTTTGTTGAAGTGATTTTATCGACCACGTTCTAATATATGCGCGTGTATTGTTCACATGAACGCGAGCGCTATATCGCTCATTTTTTGCGCTGATCAAGTTCAAAAATATCAATATTCATCGTTTGATGACAGCTCATTTTTGTTTTTGTTTTAGAAGGAACAGATCATTCATCGGATTTTTATCACTTGAATAATGATGAGCGCAGAAATTGTAGATCGGCCGACAAGTGGACTTTAGATATTCATAAATAAATCGTATTTTTTATAGTTCGTTTTGTTTCTGCTTCCCGCTCTTCCGACCGTAGGTTGATAAACAAGTGTGGACAACGTCATTAAAAGGATAAACACCACCCGAATTCCGATCACATTGTGTGTGTGTGTGTGTGTGTGTGTGTGCACGATTCTGCTTGCGTTTGGCAAAATTCCGCTTCAATTGATGCGACGCAGATGCGCACCACTGTTCACGAAAAATTCCGATGCGCATTTCAACCGTTCCATTTTCAATTTTGCCTATCACCATTTCCACCGTATATTTTTGGCTTTGAAAATTGCCATTGCAATAAAAGAGAAACGGCCCGAATCCGAGATTAGAATAAAAGAAAAGAATTTAAAATAAGTAAATATTAAGAGAGTTGCATGATCTTAAATAGAGAGGAATTGTTGAAAGTGTCAAGGCACCTAATTGTCTGCGATCGCCTGAACCTTGGTTCAATATAGAGAGATATTGACATTCGAGTGGGTACACTGATTGAATCGTTGTGTGTTGTGCGGCGGCAACGCGTGTAAATTCCATATTGGAATTTCATCATTTGCTCAAGCTCATTTAGCGTTTGTAATTTTATTAGATCGTATATATGCGAACTGTAAGGGGAGCAATGCGATAATGGGAATTTAAAAAAAGCAACAACAACCGACTAACTAACAAGCGCAACGAAAAACAAAACACATCAACGCAGCAGCGATTATAATATTTGCACTTGACTCGCTGTACTTTAACAATTCAAAACGAAACGAAATGAAAAAGAAGAATTGTTTGAATGAACGAAATAAAAACTACTTTAATCGTATTTTAAATAAGCACGTTGTCATTGCTGCACATTTTGTGTCATATCGTACGGCATGTGCATTACTGGCTATAAATATTACGTACGATAAGTTATTGTATTGTTTTATGTACTTGACAACCGGTACGTTGTGTTCATTACATTTGTGATCAATCAACACACATACCAAACCTTTGTTTGACCAAGACAACTTAGATAATTGTCATTTTCATATCGCACAATCGGTTGTGTGTGTGTTTATTCTTCTTATTTCTTTCTGTTCTGTAACGTCGTCATTTATTTTACATTGTTCAACAATGATAGCGTAATATTGTGACTGGCGCGTCTCTTAGCCCTAGGCACATTCCGATGCATTTTTAGTTGACCGTTCAAAATTCGAGAGCAATACTGATAACACTGTATGCTTCCTTTTTGAAGTCCAAACATAGCCATTTTCAGCCTGGAAGGCATACATATTGATAACATCAGGTTTGACCATGAAAATGAAAAAAAAAAAAATCATATCAGTAGTACCCAGTTATCAACCAAATTTTTTGTGTTTCTCGAACAACAACGATTGGGAAACTACGTATGAACTTAAATATCATGATAAAAAAGACCATTTATAAATGAACCTGTTGATATGTCTCGAACGCATAGAATATAGCTCAATGGCATTTTTTTTACCATAGTATTACCATGCCAAAATATTCCTTTCATCACATACCGACACCAAAGCTAATTTCTCTTCTACACGCACTGTCCATCTATATCCATATTCATGGCGTTATTCATCACCCCGAAAAAAAAGAAAGAACAAACGACGAGCTGCATTAATTACGAAACACGCATACACGAAGAAAAAAAAACACGCATTTACGTGCCATTAAGCGTGAATGCGGATGATGGCAAAGCGAACCGTGAATCCTTTTTACATTGTGTCCATTTGCATATATATTATTCGAACGCACAATGCACACGAAAAAATCCAAAAAAATGAAACGGAACAAAAAAACCATTTGAAGAATCACCATTGCAAACCAGATTTGATGTGTATGTGTTTGTTCTTTTTTTTTGTTTGTTCACTCACCAAATGATCTGAGCACGTTTCAACACATGATTCGGTATTCTTCTGTCGATGAACAGTGTTTTCGTTCTTTTTTTTCCGCTGCTGTTGTTGTTCGATTTTTTGTTTCGACCAGTTTCGACTATGCGTGCCTTGATTCGTCGGAATTCATGACCGAAAGACCAAAACCACCTTGGTTGTTTGGCGCTAAATTAACTAAACATTGAAATTTAATGTAAATATTAAATCTGTAAATAGAAGCCTTCACTTCGTTTACACAATTTCAAATCAGATTGCAAACAGCATTTTGCTGCTTCTGTTGTGTTTCCAATCATCAGCTACTTGCGAAGCGCAACGAGGAGATCGCTTACTCGCAAAAGCGCTAATTGATTGCAATGAATTCAATTTATTCATATGCTCTTAAAACAGTGAAATCTCATTAAACGATTAAAGAAATTGAGATTTTGTGCGCTGTTTTGCCGAAGTTTTGTTAAAGTTGTCATATGGATAATATGCAGCGCATATGGTTTGATTTTTGTTTGGCAATTTCAATAAGTAATTGTAACGCGCGTTCAAGCCACAATAAAGATGCAATGAATTGCATAATCTCGAAGTGGAAATCATACAGAGAAAATGTTACGGAAACAACAGACTGTGAGCCAGTGCAAGAGAGAGAGAACAACAACAACAACAACAACAAAAAGCACGGTATATTCGTACGAAATTAGATTCAGCCTCACATGGTATTCGTACGTATAGACTATATGACTAAACATACGAAGTGTACAAATAATTTTTCTGCCATCTATTTAGTTTCAATGATTCGTACGAATCATAGAAATCGCCTGAAAATTTTTGAATGAAAAAAATGCGATCGATTGGTTTTTGGTTTTCATGATTTCTTACCTTTTCATTTGTACAAACTCAAAATCGTTTGTTTCGTGCGAATCATTGAGACTTAATGGATGGTAGAAAATTATTCGTACACTTCGTATGTTAAGTCATATAGTCTATTCGTACGAACCTCTCAAATCGTATAGCCTGTGAGGCAAAATCTTATATTTGTACGTATAAAATAGACAATGCCACAAAAAAATGGCACGTATTTAAAATGAAATGAAAAAAGGGCATTTAAGTGACTGTATCGACTTGGCGTTGACGATAAATGAATAGATATGTGTCTAAATGAAATGCGAATAAAAAGAGCAAAACAAAAAAACTGGCAAATAAATAACATTACATTTAGAAAGTATAAATGACTTTTCTTTGTCGATTCGCTGGGTTCGAGGTGCGAGAGAGTGCTATAGCTTGAGCACAAGCCTGTTCAGAACCAATGCAGTTTTCTATTGAATTCAACAGTTGATATTTAAATTGCGCGACTTTTTTTTTTCACATTCGCTCTACTATGCGCTAGTTGTGCATTTCCATCAAATCTTCTCTTGCTTCAGCCCAAGTGGTATTGTTGTTTACGTTGAGGCAGATACATATGTATTTTTTCCATTTCAATTTTTGTTGAATGTTCAGTGCGCGCTGTCTGTTCATTCTGTGTGTGCTCGATGCTCTTCAAACAGTTTGTATGAAATGAATAAAAAAGAGAATAAAAGTCATATATAACTGTACTCGTATAAGCACTACTCATATGCGCGTATATATGCTCATATAAAAAATAGTAAATCAGCCCACGAGTCACATTTTGAACTACATCACATCATATGTTTTTTGTGTATAGTCAACGCGCAAGCCTAAGAACGACGATCACAGCGCAAAAAAAAAACGACGAGAGATAAACAAAACACAAATCGCGTATTCATTATGAATTCAAGACGCGAGCACAGCACATTAACCGACACAAGCGAATACGAAGCGAACGACTGTACGAACAATACACACACACACAGAGAGAGAGAGAAAGAGAGAGAGAGAGAGAGAGAGAAAATTAGGAGAACAAAATAGCAAAAATCATATGTATGTCGCATTATTGGTTCGCACACAGTAAACGATTGCTGCTGCGTATACGACTCAATCGAACGAAAAAGAGAGGTACGCTGGTCAAATGCATGCTTTGGCAGAGTGTATCCAAGTGATCACGCGTTCAATGAATGTAATCGAAACGCCATAAAAATGAACATTCATAGAAAATATGTGTCGAATAGAGCACAAGCATACCAACGAAGCGAGTACGAATTGGAAGAGAGACGCTCAATATGGCACACAACAGTGACAGCAGTAGCAATATCAGAGCTAAAAAAGAAGAATCGCACGCAAACGCTGCAAAATTGGTAATTCACGTTTACGAAGATACAAATTTCGAAACGGAATCGACTCAAATTATATGCTCTCTGACTATTTAAAATGCTCATTTTCACCAAAATCTATTTAAATTTTCTCGCAGTCACTCAGGTCATTTGCGTTTGTGGTCACATAATATTTGTTTCATTTGCATTATTTTTTCCGTTTTCTCTCTTTCTATCGCTCTTGTTCTCTATTATTTGACTATTATTTCTGCTATTGATATTGGCACCACTCTTTCGAGAAGCTGACGATATTCGATTTGAAATTACCGTCATTGAATCGAATATGTCGATATGCATTGCCATCGGGAAATAATGCAATTAGTTGTAGAAGTGAAAATTGTTATATTTATTTTTTCAATGAAAATTAGAAATCGCGATTGGCGCGCAATATGCAAAAACTAATAACAAAACATCAGCAAAAGCAGTAACGACGAAGAAAAAAAAATTGAATTTTAATCGAATTTCGTCATATTCCAATTATAAATTACGGTAACACGCTTTGTTTATTTGTTAGTTTGATTATGTTGCGATCGTATAAAAACAACATTACTTTGTTGTGTGTTTTTTTTTTTTTTTTTTGGTGTGTCTTGCGCGTCTGCATTGTTACATTTTCTTTTGGGTTATAAAAACATATGTTGAAAATGGTTCGGCGCAAAATTTTGTATTATTTGCGAAATGACGCGCGCAGCGCGCACATCGACCATAGTAAACAAAGGTAAAACTAGGTAAATTGTGGTGCTGCACATCGGGAATGAAAGTGGCCAAGTCGATGGTTTGTTTTTCGTTTTTGTTTTTCTGTTGTTCGAAGTGAAGAACGTGCTTACAACTTTACAACGGCAATCATTTGTCTCTTATTTTGCCTCGCATACATAGTATATATCTAGTGATGTTTGGCATCTGTTTGCTTGATTGCGGCAGCGGCAGCGGCAGTAGGCTCAATTTTCAATATGTACACATCGCACTCCTTTCGTTGTTGTCGTGTCGTCACACGAATTTACAACTTGACCATAAAGATTCAGAGTCGAACAGCAAACTCCAGAGTCGAACAGCAAGCACAATTTATTTTTATGTTTTCGATTGGGTCGGATGTTTGTGTGTCGGTTGATGGAATAATTTACAGCCAATTAAATCTTCAACCTCAATATTCAACATAAAAGCGATTGAGACTCTGCTGTCGATATGCACGAAACGAAGATAGTTCAGAGCATTGCTTTTGTTTTGTTTTCGGGGAGGGCTTTTGGTTTTATTAAATACACTCCGAACAAAACATGGCATTCTTGTCAATTATTATTATTGTTGCATCTAATGCTCTCTTGCACTGTCGATTATATTATATTTCTTAGATAAAATATAGAGAAAGAAAAACAACAAAAACAAACCCATGCTCATTACGATCGTCGTGTCTTGTACAATGTAATGTATAACTGTCCCAAATGCACAACAACAACAACAACAACAAAGGTTTGACTTGCATTTCTCTTTCCGTGCATCTTGCGAACATTTGCGCTGTACACGAACATTGTACATTGAGATCGCTTCACATTCAAAACGCATTACATCTTGTGTGTTATTTTTTTCCTCTATTGTTTTTCTATCTCATCGTTTTTTCAATAAGCGTCTTTCTCTCCATCCCAGATTTCAAGTTGAAGAATCGCGTATTCAAGTTGAAGTTTAAAGTTTTTTCTCGTTCGATGTTGCTGCTGCTGCTGCTGTTGTTATTTCGCTTGAAACATGTGTGAGCTCGGCAGTAAATATGCTGCGGACTATTTCTGCTTAAATAATTTCACATAAATACGTTTCGATTGTTTTTGCCATTGGACGGTAGTCACAAGAGTCATGTGAGAAATGGACGTACGCTTATGTTTATTTTAGTTTGATGCTACTTTATGACAGCAGCAGCGAATAAATAAAACCCAAAAACAAAATCATCATTTATTTTTAGTATGGAAGAACAGAAGGAAAATAAATGTAAAAGAAAATATCGTTTGAAAAGCATGCTAAATCATGTTCGCCAACGTTAATACCAATCGAATTGATGTTGTGTGCGAAACGACCAAAACATTTGACATGTTATTCAAAAATTTGAAAATCCTTCCAAGCGCCCTCTTCATGCACACCAATCGAAGTGTGCTGCTCTAAAACGTTCAATATATCGAGAAAAAAAAAATTAGTTGGCTTTGCCCTTGCAAAGTCCTTTTCGGATTAAATATTCACAAAATGTATTCCGTCGACATACAGTGCCGCGCTATGGAAAGACTAAGCGAGCATATAGTTTTTCGTCTAAAGTCCAAAAGTGCGCACATTATGAAAAGACTCCGTACCAATACAATACAAGAAAAATACACTATTTTCGTTTTGTTGTCGAATGGTACGACGTCATTTTGCTTGGCTTTGTTTCGCTTGTACGCGCGTCCATTCTGTTTATATCCACGACATACAAACGCTCGCGCAGCTGTTTTGCCCATCTTACAATGCAGAGTCGCACATATGTATGGATGTGTGTTTCGTTGCAAGCAAAAAAGGGGAAGCTTTACATTATACAACACATACGAAGCGAAACATCGATATTACTTCATACATTTGACGAACTAAAACCAAACGATTTTCATCGTTTTTATTTGATCGCCAACGAAAAAAATGGTGCTGTTCAAAGTTGTGGCAAATGATGAAAAATGATTTGTTGTTCGAGCGAATTTCGTTGGTTTCTTTTTTATTTTCGTTTTGTTTTGTTTTGTTTCGTTTCGTCAGAGTCAAGCGTTATTTTGGTTGCTCCGCATCATAGCTCGAGCGATTCAATACACAACGCCCGTATACGCTTGCACCATCTATGTATGCACAGGCACACGCACAGCTGTATGCGTATATATGTGTATGGTCGATGCGCGACATCAATGTATTGGTGTGTTGAGTGTTTGCGCGTTGCTTCGTTCGAATTTTTCGTTGGTTCGATGGCGATAATTTTTTGCTGGTTTTGTGTACAAACATCAGTCAGCTGAGAGCACGTCCCACATACAGATCGACCAATATTAATTTTCAAACACACAATACAATAAACAACAACAACAACAAGAGATCAGCATTCAATAGCAAATAGTGTTATATCCACATAAGAAACCTAACTTATAGTATTGATATTTTTATTGTTGTTATAAACAGTAGAGTAAACGTTTTTTTCTTCTTCTGTCGATTGTATGAACGAAGAGTTTTTATTTTTCGTTCTGCGGAAAAGAGTGTGAAGAACGCAGCAGTGAACAGTGACTACTTAAATTCCGTGGTATTGACGATAAACACAAAATTTAGAATTATTACAACAATCAACTCCAAATAGAAAAATTCAGTCAGCCATTTTGTGTATGTACATAGATTTTCGTTTTATTACATAAGTAAACAAACAAATAATTTTAGTGAATTTAATTTGAATTTCTCTCTCACGACTAATAATTGAAAGTGGTGCCTAATTTTTACTCAGCAAAGTGGTTTTGTTCTCGTTTTTTCTTTGCCTATGTGTGTCAGAGTTGTCGACTGAGCGTTGGCACTGAGAATACCGAGATATAGAATAAGAGAGAATGTGTGTGGTTTAACGAGAAGTCAGAAGTGTGTGAAATGGAAATTGGTTGGATAAATTGTCCAATGTCATTATTATTATTTTCTTGTTTGTTAAGTGGCAATGCATGTGTGGGATGGATGGAATTGCAAGAGCGTTGATCAAATCTCGAAATATAAAGTGAATTGACAACATTGATTGGTGGCTTGATTTTAATGGGAGACAACATTTTGGATTGCCATTGCACCCATAATTATAGTGGCCCTATCGAAAACACGGTTTTTTGTTCGTTATATTCGAATGACACACGAACGAATGTCAAACCTTTTTAAGCTCAAGTTAAATTCCTACACGCTATTTTCTATTTTACATTGCAATTGCTTTTTTCCCCCGAACGCTCAATGCCATGGCACTGCAGTTTCGAGCTACGGATTAAAAGAACGGTTACCATTCTCATCTTGAAAAAAGATTTTTCAACTTCAATGCATTAATTACTACAACCGTTTTGTCATTTTTTTCGTTCATCTCTTCTTTCAAAGTTGTTTTTCGAAGCGAGAAAAAAAAAACAGTTATGATCAGGTACACATATTAGTGAAACTGACAAAAATGGATTAGATTAAGGCTTGGTGCTGTGAAGGATTCTATTGTGATTTATTCTTTTGTCGTCTGTTCGTTCGGATGGGTTTCGACAGTTTTTCACAATAGAGACATAGAATTGAGTGCCCATGTACAAGCACACAGACGATATGTGTATTTGTCCTTTCATTAAACATCATTTTTCTCGGATACCTGTCCGTATTCGATTTTATCAAGTAGAATCAGGATAAATTTGAAAAATCTAATACCACAGTGCCAAAGGCAGAAAAAAATAAAGAAAAATTATAAAGTCGGTTCACGGATTCGTTTCAACCTGAAGGCGAAATTCCGTTACCTGATGCTCCTTTGTAGAAACATGTATATACCTGTTCATTATGCACTTGGCCAACGAAATGCTAATGGACGAATACTCAAACAAAGCAAAATCCAGAACATTCCTTGAGATTAATATTTCTCTCTATCTCTGCCTCTCTCGATGTTATTACTGTGTCGACCAAAAAAGAAAGAGTATTCACTTTTTATTTGAGATGTACCGATTTTTATTATGTCCATCTCAAATATTCATGAAATTTACCAGTCATTTAGTATTTTCGTTGAAGAGAAAAGTGCTTCGAAAATTTCATTCACTTAAAATGGCTCTTTTTTCTCTAATCGATATATTTATAGCCAAGTACGTTGGCTCTGCTCATTCTCTGTATGTAGTGTGTTTTTCCTTTTTTTTTTCGAATATATAATCACTTCTCCTATGTTCCTTTTACGACGACTACGATGACGATGAGCAGGAAATTTTCGTTCGATCACAGCCGAGCCTAAAATAAATTTTCCACATATATTACGAAAATGGAATACACAATCAACAGGATTTGTATAGAATATGACATTTTCACCAGTATCCTGGTTACTGACTCATACGCATACACAAATACACACACACACACACACACACTACCACAAACGTCAAAGATTCTTTTACGCATGTGGAAAATCTTTCTTTGTGACTTTGAAAAGCGAACGATGACGTGGAAGCGACGGTACCAAAAGTGGCCATTTCTGTTCAGGCCCAACAGCAACATAAACTCATATTTTACTTTATGATTGATTAATGTTTGCCATTCAATTCATATGAAAAAAAAACATTTATTTTTTGGCCATAGTTGAATGTGGGTTTGAAATTTTCCTTTGAAAAGGATCCAAGGAATTTCATCGCGTTTTTTTTTTTAATACTGCGCATTAGATTATGTCATCATTGTTGCTTTCTCATTGAAAAGGAGCCCAATTCACTGAATGGCACAGCGAGAGCGAATGAGCGAGATAGACAGTGTGCAGAGCGAACCAATTCATATGTATATTTCTGTTGCCTCAGAGAGACAGAGATTGTAACGGTGTAATGTAACACGTTACATCGCAGAATTATGATGTTGTGTGTCCCTGACCGAAGATTCATGGGCAATACATTTCCTTACTGTGTGTACATTGACTTTGTATTGCGCTTTGAAGATGTAACTTTTGCTACAATTCTGCCATTGCTGCCACTTTTTCTTTTTTATTTTCGCTTCCCTCGCGTTTAGCATTCAGCCTGTGTTCACTTGTTCGTGGTACTCTCCACTAACGTTTCTCCGTGTAAATTATTATGTAACGCGTTATATCGAGCGCATTACTTTTCCCTCTTCGTTCGCATAGCACATTTATTTTCGTACTTCAACCGTTAGATCAGCCAAAACTGCTAAAACAAGTTCATGAACAAGTTGTATTTTTGTATCAGTCACCATAAATCCCAGCTCACATCGAGTATTTTTAACGGTGACGATTGTATACCTTGCACGATTCGGAACAATTTCTGATAGAAGTAGTACCAGTTTACCAGTTTTCGGAAGACAGGATCTGAGTAAAAACTGAAAAAAAAAATCGCTTCAAACAAAGAGTCGATTCGGTTAAGACACATTTTTTGTGCACACACAAAAAAACTGGGATTTTTTTTTGTGGCGAGTGTTCGAGGAACGAAGCAGAAAAACGAAGAGAGATATAAACGAGTTGACGATAAAATAATGGGCAAAAATCGTAAGAGTAGAACAAATCATAGCATTTATTGCGATACATTTCCGAAATTCACTGTCGCGCTAGACACACACAATGGAAACAAAATACATATACGAAAAAAAAAATAGATTTAGTACATAGTTTAGATACAAATATTTATGTACATTTTACGAAAGGTTTTTCTTTCGGAGCGCCAATCATTTTGATTCTGGTTGTGTGTGCTTAATTTTGTTTATTGTTATTCAAATGATATTTTGTTTGATATTCAACAATGACACCGCGGATGTGCCAGTTGTTGTTGTTGTTGTTCTGTACATATAGGGTGCAATCGTACATAGAATTTGATTTGTATAGTAGCGCTCACTCTGCTATTTTTTATTTGCCACTTCTTCTCCTTCGTTCAAAAATATTTTATTTACATTAGCGCGATACGACTACTATACAATCAAAGCACACAAATGATTTCAACACATGCTCGCAAAATGCTCTGCTAATTAGGTTTAATTTTTTCGTTTATTCTATCGAGAAAAAAAAATCGACGAAATAAATGAAACAAATAACAAATCAACGAGAGAAAAAGAGATAGACATAGAATTTATGTGACGGTTGTGCCGCAACTGCATTCGTCTACACACAGCGAGCTAGAGCTATTAACCTTGAAAGTGGTGAGCAAGTTCTATTGCATATAACATATACAAATGTATAAAAATAAATGGAATATCTCAACGGCTTTTATATTCAGACCAAAGTTTTATTTCGGTTTGGTGTCAAACCATTCGTGAAATGTCGAAACATCAATGATCCAATAGAATCGAAAAAGGGAGGAAAAAAACCGCATATCAGACTTTTTGTTTCGATTGGTTTGATCGTTATTATTGGCATAAACAAGACAGCCTCATTTCAGATGTCTTTAAAGTAAATTGACATCCGATATACTATACATATATACACAGTAGTTCAAATGAAATAAAACACTAGAAAAGCATTCAATTCAATGCTTTAACTTCTTAAGTTTTTTATTTCGTGTGTGCTTGTGTGTGTGTGTGCGCTAAAGTTGTAGGTGTTCATATGTAAATAGATTCGCTTGCATTCAGCGATGATGCTATTTGGTTTTGGAATGATTCTCTTTTTTGATTAGCGCGACTTTGGCCTAAGCCCACGCATTATCACTCACTGCAATCTTAATTGATTTCACCTTCACTTTGAAACACAGCCAAAGAATCAATCGACACACGAAATCATGCAATTCATTTTTTTCATCATCAAACACTCCCAGTTCGAAAATTTACTCGATAATAGCATTTACTTTCCCCCTAGACGATTTTTTTACATTAATCGAGTGGCTTACGTATCGTGCTGATCGCTGAAATTGTGCAAATTGAAATCTATAAAATTGATTAAATAACAGCTATGTACGTACCAAGTCATCGCATCGCATCGCATAAATGTTCAACATCATTTTCAAATTTGTTGTTTCTGATACTTGTTCATTCTCATTTCTCTCTCTCTCTCTCTCTCTCTCTCTCTCTCTCTCTCTCTCTCTCT